AGAAAATGACAAGGAAACAGATTTCTCTCCACTACAAAATACATTCATATAGACCACCCAAAATAAAAATTAAGGTTATTGGCCGGGCGGTGGTGGCACACGCCTTTAATCTCAGCACACGGGAGGCAGAGGCAGGCGGATCTCTGTGAGTTCGAGGCCAGCCTGGTCTACAGAGCGAGTTCCAGGAAAGGTGCAAAGCTACACAGAGAAACCCTGTCTCGAAAAACAACAAAACAAACAAACACAGAAAAGAATTCAGGCTGTCTTTCTTCCAATAGCCACAAGATGGTGGCATTGGGCTACCGGTAGCAGAAGGTTCTGCCTACAAAGCCTTTGGTCTTGTCTGTGAATGTGCAAAAAGTCCAGATCTGGCTGCTGCGTGGCCTCTTCACCTCTGCAGTGGGGTAGGATGAAGATTTTGTTCACTGTAGGCATTTCATGAATAAAGCCTAGGACTGTGAAGATTTATTTTTTATTTTTTTAGATTTTTTTACATCCTGCCAGATCTGCCTCTTGCTGATGCCACCAAATACAGTTTTTAACTAGATATCTATTGTTCTATCTATCAATAAGACTCGGGAGTCAGAGGCTGAGGTGAAGACCCGCTGGCTCAGAGAGGTCGAGGAGCAGCAATTGGACCTTTCCTCTTCAAGGGCATCTCAGAAAGAGAGCGTCCTTCCTCTCCACTAAACCGGAAAAGGAGGCCATACTCAAAGTCCCTCCCTACTACTTCCTGTGCACCTTTCTGCCCATCTTCCAGACTCCCTCTGACTCTCTCTGATTACTTGGTGTCGACTAGCGGCTGGCTCAGCCTCCTGACCCACGGTTGATTTCATTTAATTAATGGACATGCCAACTCGGGGTTCACAGTGTGCGCGGATATCCTTCAACACATCTTAGGGGGTGAAACAAGGAGGTAAAGGAGGGGTCCACTAAATGATGCTGTGGTGAGTTCTCACTCCACCTTTGACGTCCCACAGTTGCTGTTTTAAAAGTATAACGCGTGCCAGGAAAGGTCACGAGACACAACCAAACCCATCATCAGAGCTTTATTAGCAGGAGGGGGCGGGGGGCGCAGGAAAGAGTAACCAGGCCTGGGAAGAGGCACGTGCGGAGGAGAGAGCGAGCGAGCGGGGAGGAGGAGAGGGCAGGAGTCTGTGTCCGGCTTTGTAAGGATTCCCCTGCACATGTACAGGTGGGCTTACAGAGCTGCGCCAGGCATGCACTGATTGCGTGACTGTGCTGTGCACAGTCGCGCAATCACACAGCACACGGATGACGTAAGACGCAAGATTCCCTTGCTTAGCTACTGAACTGCGCATGTGCGGTCACCGCAGCTGGAGTGGCAGAATCCTAACAACAGTAGAGACCTGTCTGGTTTTCTGAGAGTCGCTCTGGCTCCGTAGCCCTAGTTGACCTCAAGTCTGTGATGCTCTTTTGGCCTCATTTTCCTTAAGTGTGGGCATCACAGGAGTGGACTCTCGTGCTCTGTTGACTACTGTGTCACTAAGATTTAAAAAGTTGCCACATGCTGACCAGTCACACTTCTGGAGACTGAGCTCCGAAGCTAGCTTGCTTCCTTGCCCCATTTCTTTTCTTTCTTTCTTTTTTTTTTTTGGTTTTCCAAGACAGGGTTTCTCTGTGTTGTTTTGGTGCCTGTCCTGGATCTCGCGCTGTAGACCAGGCTGGCCTCGAACTCACAGAGATCCACCTGCCTCCCGAGTGCTGGGATTAAAGGTGTGCGCTACCACCACCTGACCTCCTTGCCCCATTTCTGTCCCTTCCTTGAAGATCTCCTTCCCTCCCTTCCTCTTGTTTTTATCTCATCTTGTTTCTTTTTCTCTCCTTCCCCTACCCTCTTTTTCCTTCCCTCTTTCCTTCCTTTTTTTCTTTCCTTCTCCCATCCTTTCCTCTCCTTCCCAAAATATTTGATGTATTTTTTTTCTAAATATATTTTTTGTTGGTGTGGTGGTCTGAGTGAAAATGCCTCCTCCCAAAGACCAGGGAGTGGCACTGTTGGAGGTGTGGCCTTTTTGGAGGAAGTGTGTCACAGGGGGTGGGTTTTGAGGTTTCAGATGCTCAAGCCAGGCCCAAAGGCTCTCTCGTCTTGCTGCCTGAGGATTCAGATACGGAACTCTAAACTACTTCCCCAGCACCGTGTCTGGCTGTGTGCTGCCCTGCTTTCTGCCACGGTGATAATAGACTAAATCTTTGAACCAGAAGCCAGCTCCAATGAAATGTTTTCCTTTGTCAGAGTTGCTGCGGTCATGGCACCTCTTCATGGCAACGAAATACTAAGACAGTTGGCATATAAACTAATGGATATATTAGTTACTTTTCTGCTTCTGTGATAAAGCACTGTGACTGAAAGCAACTTATGGGAGAAAACAATGTATTTTGGTTTATCCAGAGGAATAAGAGTCTACCACGGTGAGGAGGCAGGGCGGCGAGCGGCAGGCATGGTGGCTGGAGCAGAAGGTTGAAAGCAAACATCTTCAACTGCGAGCATGGAGCAGAGAAAGTGAGCTGGAAGCAAAGCTTTTAATCTCAAAACTCACAGTGACTGGGTGGTGGTGGTGGCGGCAGTGGCACACGCCTTTAATCCTAGCACTCGGGAGGCAGAGGCAGGCGGATCTCTGAGTTTGAGGCCAGCTTGGTCTAAAAAGTGAGTTCTAGGACAGCCAGGGCTACACAGAGAAACCCTGTCTTTGACAGAAAAAAAAAAAAAAAGGCCAACAGCTCATCGTGATGTACTTCTTCCATCCAGACCACACCTCCTAAACACCCCCAAACAGCGCCACCAAATGGGAGTCAGGTGTTCAAATGCCTGAGCCTGTGGGGACGTTTCTTATCCAAACCACCACAGTGAGCTTCTTTAGTTATCTTTCTTTCTAATTTATGTTGTTTTGTTTTTCGAGACAGGGCTTCTCTGTGTAGCCCTGGCTGTCCTGGATCTCGCTCTATAGACCAAGCTGGCCTCAAAACCACAGAGATCCACCTGCCTCTGCCTCCCAGTGCTGGGATTAAAGGTGTGTGCCACCACTGTTCAGTGTAAAATAATTTTAATAAAAAAAAGATGCTGTTTTCTGTTCCACTTTGCATGCTTAAGATTGTCAATAATTTAAATTTTTTTTTTTTTTTTTTTTGGTTTTTTTTCCAGACAGGGTTTCTCTGTGTAGCTTTGCACCTTTCCTGGAACTCACTTGGTAGTCCAGGCTGGCCTCGAACTCACAGAGATCCGCCTGGCTCTGCCTCCCGAGTGCTGGGATTAAAGGCGTGCGCCACCACCGCCCGGCAATAATTTAAATTTTAACTTAACTATATATTAACTTTTGTGTGTGTGTGTGTGTGTGTGTGTGTGTGTGTGCATTGTTAAGATTGAACGCAGAGTCCTGTGCATCATAGGTAGACATTGTACTATGAACTACAGTTCAATTTAAAATATTTTAAATTGACACATAATAATTATACCTCTTTTGGGGTGTGTATATTGAACTGCGTGAATAGAGGCACAGAAGAAGTATTTGTCTCTCTAGAACTACCTTCTGTCCTGTTCTCACCTCCAGGGGCCGATCACCTTTGGCCAGTGGGGAGGCCCAGATACAGAACAGAGGGAGAGAGACAAGACAGAGGTGCATATGTTCTTATCTTCATACCCACAGATCGGTGAGTCTCTCAGTCCCCGCCAGAGATGCTTCTTCTTGCTGTCGATGGTGATTAACACAGAGACCCACAACGGGTCAGGAAGCAGAGAGGAAGAGAGGGGAGGGTTCAGCCCTAAGGGACGTCTAGATAACACAGACCCTCTTCCAGAGGCTCAGGGATCATCACGGAAGAGGGGGAGTGAAGATTTGAGAAGTCAGAGGTAGTGGATGACTGCAGCAGAGCTTTGTTGTTGGAAAACAACAGGGCTGAGTCACACAGGAACTCACAGCCGCTGTAACTGCATGTATAAGACCTGGACAAGAGCAAGCCGGTCAATCTTACCATGGGTGGGGGATGGGGGCTTAGGAGCTATTGGCAATGATGACTTCTAGAGGAGGGAGAGTCAGTTTTCTTCAGGGATGCCACACTTGAGAGGCTTCCTGTGGTGCTTTGAACGGGTGTGGTCCAGGTAGACTCATGGGTTTGGCCCACAGGGAGTGGCACTATGAGGCCTTCTTGGAGGAAGTGTGTCACTGTGGAGGCGGGCTTTGAGGTCTCCTATATGCTCAAGCCATGCCCAGTGACACAGATTCCTTCTGCCCCAATGAAGTGTTTTTCTTAATAAGAGTTGCTGTGGTCATGGTGTCTCTTCACAACAACAGAAGCTCTAACTAAGACACCTCCCATGCCAGTAGATGGCCCTACACCTATGCTCACACTTTCTGGCAACACTAAGTGGAGTTGCTGGGTTTAAAAACAACATGAAATTTAGAGGGAATAGTGGGGTGGGGGCAACTGGAGGGGATGAGGGGAGGATTTGCTGAAAACACATAATGTGCAATTGTGAAATTCTCTCTTAAAAGAACTAAGAAAAAAAAAAGGGGGTTATATGAAAATACACTAGCTCCCTCTCCTTGAGATCATTTTGCACTAGTTGGAAGGGATGGGGGTGGTAGGGGATAAATATATATATATATATATATATATATATATATATATATATATATATATATATATATATATATATATATTATTCCCCTAGTTCTGGCTCAGACTCTTACTAGAATCAATTTCTTTCCACAAATTCCTGTCTCCTTTTGGTTAGAACAGTGAGCAATGAACCTAACCTGACTGGAAAGTGTATTATTAGGTTTTCGGGGGAGTTCTTGCTGAAAAGATGAAAAACTGATTTTCCCAGTAGCCAATCCTTTCCGCAGTAAGAAATCTTCAAACAGTTCAGTAACAATCGTAGACAATGAAAAAGGGGTAATTGAAAAGCTCAAGTGTGAACGGACAGCCTAGCCAGTAGCAGAGTAGATGTAATATAGAGACAAACTCAAGAAATGTGGCCAGAGGGCTTTTCAAAAACATTTATTTATTTGTTTATTATTTATTTGTTTATTTATTTATTTGAAAGGTAAAGAGCAGCGGTGGGGAAAACAAGGACTGATCAGAGAGACTTCACCACTCCAAGAAGATGCTGACGTATCAATCCGTGCGAGAGCCGAGTACCTCAGGAAGCATCTACCGGTCTGAGAGCGGTCATTTTTCAAGCTCAGATGGATGTAAACCAAGATCAGACTGTCACAAGTAGATCTGAACGATACGGTGGCTGGTTTTCCTCGGTGAAAAGCAGGGACAGGAAAAGCGATCGATAACAGCATCCGTGAGCCTCTTCCTCTGCATCTTAGAAGGAAATTAGCTTCTAAAACAAGCCACCCTCAAGGCAGGTTTTTTTTTTTTTTTTTTTTGGTTTTTTGAGACAGGGTTTCTCTGTGTAGCTTTGTGCTTTTCCTGGAACTCACTTGGTAGCCCAGGCTAGCCTCAAACTCACAGAGATCCGCCTGCCTCTGCCTCCCGAGTGCTGGGATTAAAGGCGTGCGCCACCACCGCTCTGCTGAAGCCAGTCTTACAAGGGATTAAGACTGCACCTTCACGTACATGTAGGTACTGGGGACAAAAACTGCTTCGTGTTATCCATCTCATGCCTGAAAGGTGTTGTAGGCAGAAGCAGGAGCACACTGGGTCTCCCGGACCTCCCTTCAGTGCCTGGCTTTGGTGATACAAGCTGAACTCGGCTGGGAAGGCTCTAGATCTGATTCCTGTGTCACCACAATCTTTTCCGGAGCCAGAGGCAGCCAGTGCCACACCCAGGGCAACATTTGGGTGAGCAGAGGCTGTGATCACAGCAATGGTTGCTGGGGCATATCGACTTGTTAATAAAAATAAAAAAGTCGTGTATAAATGTGTAAATGTAGTGATTTCTTTGACCCCCACACCCCAATTGTTCTTGCTCATTTGTTTTAGATCAAAAGACTGGAATCAATTTTTATGGTCATCAGCAGGGATTTGGTTGAATAAGTTATGTTCTGTCCATTCTGACTTCAGTGAACTCTACCCGCCCAGGGCATTTGAGTCAGCAGAACCACTTCTAATGAGCAAGCACTTCGAATAGAAAGGCAGGATATCTTTTTAACAACAACAAAAGCTAAGTTCAAAACATTGAGTACACTAGCCAAGCTGACACTTGTGTATGTTCTTAGGGGTGCATAAAGAATACATGGAGAAGCCGGGCGGTGGTGGCGCACGCCTTTAATCCCAGCACTCGGGAGGCAGAGCCAGGCGGATCTCTGTGAGTTCGAGGCCAGCCCGGGCTACCAAGTGAGTCCCAGGAAAGGCGCAAAGCTACACAGAGAAACCCTGTCTCGAAAAACCAAAAAAAAAAAAAAAAAAAAAAGAATACATGGAGAGCCAGATGTGATGGTGGCATACACCTTTAATCCCAGCACTGGAAAGGCAGAGGCAGGTGGATCTCTGTGAATTCAAGGCCAGCCTGGTCTACATAGTAAGTTCTGGGACAGCCAGAGCTGTATAATGGAGAGACTCTGTTTAAAACAAACTATAAACTATAAACAAAACAAAACAGGAATACACTGAGGAGGCTAGGAGCTCTTGCTGTTCTTCTAGAGGACCCAGGTTCAGTTCCCAGAACCCACAGGGTGGTTAACAACTGTCTGGAACTCTGGTTCAAAAGGATCTGCTGCCCTCTTCTGGCCTCTGTGAATACTTGCATGCATGAGGTACACAGACGTACATATGCAGGCAAAACACATAAAACTATAATAATTTAAAATTAAAAACAAAATTAAAAAAAAACCATAGAAAACTGAGAGCCATACCTGGCGTCCTCCAGGAAGGGACCCTCAGTGGCAGGCTGACGTGAGAGGGAGCCACTGTAATCGTGAATCTACTGTCGGCTCTCCACTGAGCAGATCATTTAATGGAAAAAATTTCTGGCTTGCCTTGCTGTAAAATAAGATTTCTAGCTGAGCGTGGTGCCTGTAGTCCTAGCTATACAGGAGACTGAGGCAGGAGGACTGCTTGAGCCAACAAAGTCTGTGTCCACTTGGTGTATTGCAAGACTCCCTCAATTTAAAAAAGATGTGTGTGTGTGTGTGTGTGTGTGTGTGTGTGTGTGTATGTGTGTGTGTGTATCTATGTGTGTGTGTTTGTGTATCTGTGTGTATATGTGTGTGTAATTTTCGTCAGTTAAATGAGATTCCTGATATTCCTGTAAACTTTCTTGCAGTGTTTCTTGAAAATGAGACAGGAAAGGAAGAACATAAAATATTTTTTGCTTGTAAGTACATATTTTAAACCTATTTGTGTGTATGCTCTTAACTCTATTGATTGTGTGTGTGTGTGTGTGTGTGTGTGTGTGTGTGTGTGTTTCTGTCTGTTTATGTGTGTATGTGCATGTTGGTGGGGATGCATATTTCAAATCAACCATTAAGGACAGGAAAAAGTTTCTTAATTTTTTAAAAAAGTCTTATTTATGTGTATGAATGTTTTGTCTGTATGTATATAAACCATGTTTATGCCTGGTGCCCTCGGAGGCCAGAAGAGGGCATCAGATCCCCTGGAATTGGAGTTACAGATCGTTTTGAGTCACCACATGTGTGCTGGGAACCAAACCTGGGTCTTGCAAAAGCAACATAGTGCACTTATCTGCTGAGCCCTCTCTCCAGTTCCAGAGAGGGTTCTAGCCAATGGTGCCAGAGTGTGGAAGGGCTAGGAATAGTGAGCCTGTTCTGTGAGGGGGTGTAAGACAGTCCAACTGCCTCTATGGGTCACATGGGGAGTAGGCAGGATTGAGTAGAGATTAGGGACGAATTATGAAGGCATAAAATTAGGGAGTTTGGTTTTTACTATATTAGCCATGGGAATTTATGGTGGTAGTGTGTGTGTGTGTGTGTGTGTGTGTGTGTGTGTGTGTGTGTGTGTGTGTGTGCTTCTTTGAGCAGGCAAGAGAGGTGTTCAGTACAATGTCTATGCAGAGATGACATTATCTGGACAGATTTATTTACCCGTTCTAAGACAGCCCAGGAGACAACTTCCCCAAATCAGTGTTTTCTTTCTAGGAATAGGTTATCTCATAGTTGGAGATTATTGACACATACCGTATGGTTCAGATGTATGTATGTATGTATGTGTGTATTATTCTTATTTCTTTTATTTTGAGATAGGGTCTCATGTAGTTCAGAATGGCCTCATACTCACTTTGTAGCCAAGAATGATCTTCGATTCCTAATCCTCCTGCCTCACCTCCCAAGTGCTGAGAGTATATGTGTCTTTTAACTGGAGTAGGCCGGAGCTGGGAGGAGAACCTTAGTGCAAGCTGGAGAATTGTATTTCTAAAGCCAGCCATGAAAGCCAGATGTGGTGGCACATGCCTGTAATCGCTGAGCTCAGGAGGCAGAGGCAGGAGACTGCTGTTAGTTCAAGGCCAGGCTGGTCTATGTAATGAGTTTTGGGTCAGCCAGGGTTACATAGCAAGACCTTGTCTCAAAATAATAAAAAATTTAAAAAAAGGTGTGTGGGAGGCAGGTGGGGGGTGGTGGTGATGGGACTGAAGATGTAGCTTGGCTGGTAGAGTGCTTGCCTAACATGCACAAGACCTGGGTCTGAACCCCAGGGTTGCGTGAGCCAGGGATGGCACTGAGCCGGAGCCACACACTCTGACTGAAGTGCTAAGATAATAATCTAAGTCCTTGGTGACTTTGGGAGCAGGTCACAAGGAAAAGCAGAATCAACTGCTTTTCTAAGAGCTGGGGTGAACTTCATCCATCATCTTTATGCAGACTGGGGCACTAAACCTTGGAACAAGAGCTGAGTTGCTGAGTTTTCTCTAGTGCGTCAGCCAGACGGGCTGACCATTTCCCCTGATGACTCCAGGCTCAGAGCTCATTTCTCTTACTCCCTGGAGCCACTGAGGCATAGGTAATGCCATTATTCCGTGCACCACGATACACAGAGACTGCCTGACACCAGGTGTGTCCAAGGGGACGGGTGGGAAACACGGAGCAGCGAGATCTTCAGACGTGAGCTCCCCTCCAGTGGGGCTTGCTCACCTCTCTTTCGACTCCACCGTTCTTCATCCGAGTCCTCAGTTTGATTGTCCCGCCTAACTTTATCCTGCCTTGCTATAGGTCAAACAGCTTTATTATTAACCAATGAGAGTACTGTATATTCACAGCATACAGAAGGATCACCCCACAGCACCTCTGCAAGGGAGTTTGAAAAGGGGCTTCAGTCTGAGAGAGGACAGCGATGCTTTATCCAGGAGGTGATTCTTGGAAAACAGAATTTGAGGTTTTCCAGCCAGTTGACAGCGGGGCAAAGAGAGAATTCGTATGTGGTGTTTGGAAGAAAAATAAAGATGGGAGGCGATTTAAATAGAAGTTTACCGGAAGCTGGACGGTGGTGGCGCAGCCTTTAATCCCAGCACTCGGGAGGCAGAGCCAGGCGAATCTCTGTGAGTTCGAGGCCAGCCTGGGCTACAGAGTGAGCTCCAGGACAGGCACCAAAACTACACAGAGAAAACCTGTCTTGAAAAACAAACAACAACAACAACAACAAAAATTTACTGGAAGAATATGGAATAGCTTTTGCTATCCCAGGAAGCCTGCAAAGTCTCTCTCTCTCTCTCTCTCTCTCTCTCTCTCTCTCTCTCTCTCTCTCTCTCTCTCTCTCTCTCTCTCTCTCTCCTGTCCCATTGCTGAGCAGCTGCCAACCCCGGCACCGCTGCCTATGTAGCAGGATGAGGAACAGTCGGCCTGGAGGAGGAGCATGGGTAGGGTGGTGGGGGGTTGGATCCAGGCTTCTTCGTATTGCTTCTGTCCATCACCGGGATGGATTGCTACCCTGCCTGCTTTTTGTATTGATAGTTTCTGATTAGATACTGGGGGAAGGCACATCTGACTGGCTGGGCCAATCTCCAGGGGAGGCTAGGAAAGCAAGACTCTGGCTCTTCCATCTTCTCTGTGTTGGGTAGAGAAGGATTGCCTCTTCACACCGAGATGTTCAGAATGAGAACATGTAGGGCTGGAGAGACGGCTCAGTGGTTAGGAGTACTTGCTACTTTCACAGATGGACCAGGTTTGGACCCCAGCACCCATAACCAGTGGCTCACAACCCCTTTCATATGAGAGGTATACGTGTGTATACACATACATGTGTGTGTGTGTGTGTGTGTGTGTGTGTGTGTGTGTATACACACACATAAAATTAAAAAAAATAGCTGGTCATGGTGTCATAGACCTTAAATCCCAGCATTGGGGGAAGCCAGGCAGGTGGGTTTCTGTGAGTTTGAGGTCAGCCTGTTCTGTAGTGACTCCCAGGACAGCCAGAGCTACATAGTAAAATCCAATCTTAAAAATAAATAGCTGTGCCGGGCGGTGGTGGCGCACGCCTTTAATCCCAGCACTCGGGAGGCAGAGCCAGGCGGATCTCTGTGAGTTCGAGGCCAGCCTGGGCTACCAAGTGAGTCCCAGGAAAGGCGCAAAGCTACACAGAGAAACCCTGTCTCGAAAAAAAAAAAAAATAGCTGCTACATAAAAATAATTTGTATTTTAAAAGAGATTAAGTCCTCTAGAGGGTAGCCCTCTCCTCCAAATGAAGGAGTAAAAGTGAAGCAGGAGAAGAAAGATGTTTTAATCGCACGTGAACACACAGAAAACAACCAAAGACAAGGATGTTGTTAGAATCTTAGATGGTCTTTTAATAAAAAACCCAGAGCCAGGTATCAGGGTGAAAGCCGAAAGATCAGAGAAGCAGAACAGCCAGTCACTAGCTCTTACCTCTACGAAATCCTCAGCCTCAAGAGAGCGAGTTCCTGTTTCCTCCCTCACACCTTATATACCTTTCTCTGCCCTGCCATGTTATTTCCTGGGATTAAAGGCGTGTGCTTCCCAAACAAAAACACTAGATCTCAAGTGCTGGGATTAAAGGTGTATGCCGCCACGTCCTGACCGCTATGTCAATCTAGTGACCGGCTCTGTCCTCTGATCCTCAGGTAAGTTTATTAGGGCACACAATATATCACCACACAAGGGCTAGCATGTGGTGCCGGGAGGCCTGTCAATAACTCAAAAGAAAAAGAGAGCACGCCTTGCAATCAAGCAGGGGACCTGTCTTGAAAGTCCTGTTTGTCATCTTGATTTTCTTATTAAAGGAGTGTGGCAGAAACAACCAGTTATCAATACAGCAATACCTACCTTTCTTCCTTACCAATAAATTGAAGAGAAACACATTCAGCTACACTCACTTTCCAGACTTTCTGATCATGTGTCGAAATGAACCAGTCTATACATCTATACAAAGTCTGTACAACTCAGTGAACTTCTAAACAGTTAGAACAGATCCTCTGGAGCTGGAATTACAGGCAGTTGAGAACCTCCTAACATGGGTGCTGGGAACTGAACTCTAGTTCTCTGCAAAAGCTCCTAACTGCTGATCCATCCAGCTAGACTCTGAATTAATATTTGAGCACAGAGTAAAAACACTAAACTTTTCAATTTAAACAAATAAGAAACGTCATATATTATTTCAATTTCTTAGATCTGGAAATGGCATTTGTCTCTCAGGCTTTCTTAGACAAGCCACGTGTTTAACCACTGGATTTGACTTTCCTGTAGTTGGCAGCTTGTGAACATCAGGAGACCAAGGAGGAAACTAGTGTAATTATTTGTAAGTGACATGGATGGAGGCCAGGAGTAGGGGTTAGGTAAAAAGACAGATGGAAGATGTGGTAAAAGTGGGTGAACAGGAGCAGAGAACGGATGTGCAGGGTCCCAAAGGTGAACTTCATATAATTTTCTTATTTAAACCATCATACTGAATCAATATAAACTTTTAGACATCTCAGTCGAACAAAATCTATTAAAAATATTAAAACCCCCTCATATCTTACCAGTGACCACACTCAATTTATGTGGTGCTGGGGAAAATCCCAGAGCTTTGGGCATGCTAAGCAGGCACTACCAACTGAACTACATGCCCAGCTCTCTTTCTTTAAATATCCTCCTCATCTACTGGCCATTCCCTTTTCTTGAGGCCCTGTACCAGGCCCTGGCCTCCACACTTTCAAGTGGCCCCACACACTCCCTTGTCTTTAGTTACCACCTCTTTGCCTATTACTTCCAAACCTGTAACTCCCAGCTGGATATACCAACCTGTCTCCTGGCTGTTTCCATTTGGCTAAATCATTCGCTAATAAACGCCTGCAAGCATTTTAGCGTGTTTCTTTTCAGCCTCCGTTCATTTTCTATTGCTTTCTCTTTCTTGCCCATTTCCTCTACACAATTGAGCACACACACAAATATGTTTAGCAAAAATGTAATCAGAACTATTCCATGGCTTTTCCTGGGGAGACTTGGAAAAACAAACAAAACAAACAAACAAAAACCCGTCTACTCATCGTGGATCGGTCCCCGCGAACCCTGGACTTAGAGCGGAGAAAGGACTCTCTTCAAGCCTGCTTGGTGAACAATCACGATTGTTGTGTCACTTACAGGAGCATGAGTGAGAAGTCACCCAGAAGACCCTGAGTGACTCACATGTCGCTGCGTCTCTGAAAAGCCGACCTCAGCATGGCTGACCTCTCACGAAAGATGGATTCCTGCTCCCAGCTCCACTTGCAGACAACTCCGCCGCCGGAGTCCTCTCTTCTGCAGCCGTCTCTCTCTCAGCCTCCTGGGCCTTGTAACTCTCCCTCGCTTCCTGCGTCTTGAGCCTCCCTCCTCCCTTCCTGATTGGGAGGACAGAGCTACCCCACATCAACGTCACAAACCCGTCCCGAGTTTTGCACTGGGCCAGTGCAGGTGCACCACTCACGAACACTGCGGGCGTCGTTTTCACCGCCAGCCGGGTCTGGGTACCGGCGCGCCTCTCCCGGCTCTCAGGGCTCTGGGAGAACACGGGGCACATCACTTGAGCCCAGGAATCTGGGCTTTGATCAGGCAAACACAGTGAGACCCGTGTCAAAAGCAGAAGGCACACAGGGTCTACATGGGTTCCACGGTGTGGACCTTAGCGCACATTAAAAGGGGAATTATTTTTAAAAAGTTTCCCACTGCACAGCACTTCGGGGTTTTTCAGGGGAAGAGGAGGATGCCCTTAGTTACAGGGGGACAAGAATCCTGGGAAAGCCACTAATGCCATCGTTCTTGTGTCTGCCCTTCGTGCTAACATCAAGATTCTAAATTTGCTCTCTCGCCTTTAGGGGAGATTTCTTCCCACATTATAAACTACGCTCTTTGCAGTACCGACACTTCAGGGTCCTCGGGTCCACGAAAGCATTCCCTAGATTTTGTCTGGAGGATACAAGCCACAGGAAGATGATGGATTTTGAAGTAGTTTGTGTAAAAGGCGAAAAACTGAAGCACACGCTTCCGCAGCGAGCAGGGTTCGAACCTGCGCGGGGAGACCCCATTGGATTTCAAGTCCAACGCCTTAACCACTCGGCCATCGCTGCCACGGAGGCAAAGGGAAGGCGGAGACACTTTAGTGTAACAGGCGCTGCGCTCGCACCGGGGCCGGGAGGAGGCGGAGCCCGCTCCTGCCTCCTTCAGCTTCTTGGGCTGAGGCGGCTGGGGCGATGAGTGGCTGGACCTTCTGCGTGGCTGCGGAGGGGAAGACAAAGGGGCCCATCCGGGTCCTTAAACCCCGATCTTCGCTGGTTTCGGGGGGCAGACCTGACTTTGGCCCTCCCGCTTTCCCCTGGGCACCACGAGGTGGCTGTGAAACATAGGATTGTCTCGCTGCGTGTGGCGGGCCCGCCCGCCCGGAAGTTCCTGCATTGCCCTTGGCGGGCTTCCGTCCCCTCCGGGGTCCCACGTCGCGGAGGCCGAGCGCACGTGGGGTGTGTGTGTGTGTGTGTGGGAATGGCGACTGCGTGCCTCGGGCGTGGTTGAGGTTACCCTTCGATGCGAACGTGGGCGGGCGAGCGCAAGCCCCCGGGGGCACCCTCGGCCCGCGCGCGCCCGCCCCGACGGGAGCGCGGCGGCTCGCGGGTGCGCGCCCGGCCCCGGCGCGCATGCGCGGCTCCCACCGGCGCACCCCCGGGTCTCCCGGTTTGACTTTCCCGCCGGGACGCGAAGCGCGCGTTGCTCTGCAGGAGCCGCGGTGTTGAGCGAGCTCTCCGGAGGTGTGTGGGTGTTCCTGACACGTCCCCGAGTCGTGTAAAGCAAGCTCAGATTCTTGGACCCTGAGTAAGTTCTCACTAGGAAACTTCTGTGTGTCTCCTTGGAGTGTCAGAAGCTTCGCCCATAAAGTATCACCAGCATAACTGCCCAAACAGCAGCCGAACAAGGATGGCACCGATAGACATTTTAACATGGACAGGGAATTGGCCTCGTGCTAACATGAGACCTCAGTTCTACACAATGACCCACAGGCAACTAAGGAATTTTGAGAGTGGGAGAAATAGTCTTCCTCAGGGATGGGCATACAAGTTACTAAATGGCCAGTCATGAAAACAAAATACAAGTAACATTACACCAACTGAGCAGGCTGCGTATGTATTTAGTAACACACACACACACACACACACACACACACACACACACACACACACACACACGTAGCAATAGGTAATGAAAAGAGAGGTCATGAATTTGAAAGAGAGCAAGTAGGGGTATATGGGAGGCTTTGGGAAGGGGAAGAGAAAAATGATGTAATTATAATCTCAAAAACAAAATGCAGAGTAGAAACCCCCCCACCCCCACAAGTTTATAGTTCCTGAATATCAAGAGTGTGGTCATGTGTTGACTAGACCCTCTCACTAGTAAACGATATAAGGCAATTGACTTATGCTCCCGATGATTGGAGAGATGACAGATGAGTCATAGAACACAGACTCTCAGGGAAAAGCTTTACTGAAAAGAAAAAGTGGGTCAAGGAGAAGGGGATGGCACTGATTACGAGAGATTGAAGTTGTCCCAAATCAGAGGAAGAAATAGACACTTTTATCAGGGTTGTTAAGTACTTTTCATTTGGTAATTTTCCACTAGGCATGAGGATGGTACTTATTAAAAAAAAAAAAAAAGACTTTTTGGGACTGGGAGATGGCTCAGCCATTAAGACTGTGCACTGATCTTGCAGAGGACCAGGATTCATTTCCCAGCACCCACAGGGGTGGCCCACAACTCCTTGTAATCTCAGCTCTGGGGGATCTGACACCCTCTTGTAGACTGAGGGCAGCTGCACTCATGTGTGCATTTGAGCTCATGTGCGTGCATGCTCACACGTGCGTGCACGCGCACACACATACCCACAGAAACACATAATTAAAATATTTATTTCCCATGTAAGAATTTTTTTTTTGTCATGTGTAGATACAGATCAGTGGCCAGTTCAGGTGTGGAAACAGCAGAGTTTTGTCCTTGTGATAAGAATAGAAAAGCAAGGAAGGGCACATCTCACCCAGAATTGATGAAGGAAGAGGCATTTTTACTTTCATAGAATATTTATTAAAAACCAAGAATCTGTTTGTCTCTTGTCTCCATGAAGGTCTTCATCTACTTCACTCTCCCCCAACTTTCCCTTCAACTTTGACTGGGGAGTGTGGTGGAGGTCCTTTATCTTGTATATAATGGTTCAAGTTGACTCAGTAATGTTGACTCTACTGATCTTTGGATAGTATAGAAATCTTTTTAATTTATTGTATATTTGAGACAGGCTCTCACTATGTCGTTCTGGCTGTCCTGGAAACTCGCTATGTAGACCAGGCTGGCGTTGAACTCACAGAGATTCACCTGCCTTTACCTTCCAAGAGATTAAAGGCGTGTGCCACCATGCCCGGCTGTAAATCTCTTGATGTTTGACGCAATGGGGAGAAGATTGAAGCAGGTCTAAGATAGACGGAGAATCCAGTAGCTAACATCTTGTTAATGGACCTGGTTACATCTGGAAGACACAAATGCTATTAGCATATTAAGCAAGAAGGGGCCCAATATCAAAAGTAGGAACTGGCTGTGGTAGCCTGTGCTGTGATCCCAGCACTTTGGAGGTGGAGAGAACAGTATCAGAGTTCAAGCTCAGAAACAAAAGTAATCTTTAATGGTGGGGCTGCAGAGATGGCCCGGTGGTTAAGAGCACCTGTTACTTGTGCAGAGGACCCAGACTTGATTTCCAGTACCTACATGATAGCTTACAACATCTGTAGCTCTAATTCCTGTAACAGGTCTTTCTTTGGACCACCAGTTACTGAATAGTGACGCTGAGACTTTTTATTAATTATGAAAGCTTGGCCTTAGCTTAGACTTGTTCCCAATTAGCTTTTAAAACTTAAATTAACCCGTTTGTCTTAATCTACATTCTCCCACATGGCTCATTACCTCTCCTTAGTACCATATGTCCTACTTCCTCCACATCTGGCTGTTGAATCTCCCACCTCAGATTATTTCACAAAGTTCCCATCTTTCCCTGGAAGTCCCGCCTAGCCTCTTCTACCTAGCTGTTGGCCGTTCAGCTCTTTATTAAACCAATCAGAAGGTGTCTTAGGCAGATGAGTAAGGACAAAGACATCTTCACACAGTGTACAAAAAGATTATCCCAACAAATTCCAGGGAACCCATTACTTTCTTCTGACCTTTGTGGACACCGGGCATGTACACAGTGCACATATCCATGCAGGCAAAAACACTTACACACATAAAGTAAAACAAATAAATCTTTAAAAAAAGGCAGAAAACTGGAATGGCCACCAGAATAATAAAAGTCATGTGAAATTTTACAGTGTTGACATAGATCCCTTTTGATTATATTTATGTGACAAGACACAGCCAGCATCAGTTGTCAGTTTGACGCACCTGGGAAGAGGGCGCCTCCGTTGAGGAATTGTATCCATCAGATTGGTCTGTGAGCATGTCTGTCAGGGCATTTTCTTAACAGCTAACTGATGGAGGAGGGACCCGCCCACTGTGAGCAGTAACATCTTCAGGTAGATGGGCCTGGCCTGTATAAGGAAGGTAGTTGTAGGTGAGCCCATGAGCAAGCCAGTAGGTCGCGTTCCTTTGTGGTTTCTGCTTCAAGCTCCTGCCTTGAGTTCCCACCTTGGCTGTCCTCAGGACGGACTATAACCTGTAAGTTGAAATAAACCCTTTTCTCCCCCAGGTTGCTTTCGGTCAGTTTTTAATCCGAGCAACAGAAAAAGAAAGGAGAACACAGACATTTACTTTTCTTGTATATTTCTCCTTAATATCTACTTAACTACAAGAGGAAGAATTGAGGTGGGAGTGGATAAGAGAAAGTAATATGGGGGCTGGAGAGATGGTTCAGCGGTTAAGAGCACTGACTGCTCTTCCAGAGGACCCAGGTTCAATTCCCAGCAGCCACAAGGTGGCTCACAACTGTCTGTAACTCCAAGATCTGATACCCTCACACAGACGTACATATAGGCAAAGCCAACAATGCACATAAAATAAAAATAAATAAAAATTAAAGATAAAAGAGAAGGTAATAGGAGAATTCAATCAAAGGACACATACATGTACATACAAACACACATACATAAAATGTCATAATTAAACCAGTCATTTTGTATAACTGATATATTTTAATAAAAACAGGTGGTGCTTGGGAACCCAAAGAGCCTTCCTATTATACCTTCTGTTTTGGGGGGCGTTTTTTTTTTTTTTTTTGAGACAAGGTCTCATGTAGCCCAGGCTGGCCTTCACTTCACTATGTAGCTGACGATGACCTTGAATTGCTAACCCTCCTGGCTACACCTCCTAGGTGTTGGGAACTACAGGCATTAGCCACCATGCCTAGTTTTCATATTTTTACTCCAACACTAACTAAGGAATTTCGAGTGGTAGGCCAGCCAGCACAATCTGTTGTACTCTTTACATCCTTTGAAAATAGCGCTTTCGTTAAAGCTTTTCGTATTTTTCTTAATGAAAGTCACCCCATCGAGTAAGGAATGTGGCTCTTCCCAGAAGGCTTCTGTAAGAGTCAGTCCCTTCAAAGGCATAGCTTGAGTTGGGGACAGCTGATTTTGGTCTTGGAACTAGATTGCCTTTTATTTTATTGTTTTGCTTTTTTTGGGACTGAGTCTCTCTCCGTGTAGCCCTGGCTGGACTGATAGTCTGTTAAAAGTCTGTGGGCGCCTTGTTTTATGTCTTCATGGAGTTTATGGAAAAACAACAGCCCCTGCAGTCTACCAACTGACACTTGTCTGTATCCCATCACTTAAGGCAGGAGGATCAGAAGGTCAAGGCCTTTTGGGCTATAAAGCAACTTTAAGACCCTGTCTCAAACAAACAAACAAACAAACAAACAAACACACAACAAAGCAAACCAAACCCCAAACCAACCAACTAAAAAACAAACCCACAGCCAGCCAGCCAGTCAGCTCAGAAGTCAGACCTTTAATCCTAATGTCAGGAGAATTAAACATTGTAGAGGAAGGGCTGGGGACATAGCCTAGAAGCTAGAGTGCTTAGCTAGCATGGAGGAGGCCCTGGGTTTGATCCTCAGCACCCCATAAAACTGTGAAAGATTGTCTTGGGCTCCAGAGAGAGTGGGAGGGCTTCAATCCCTGAGGCCATTAAGTAGCACAGATATTTTCATACAACTTTTATGAAAGGTCCCAGAATTTGACCTTCATCCTGCAGACCTAATGATTTTTATAATGGCTGGCGTTAGATAATCCCTAATGTACAAAGCCTGTTAGTTAGAATATATGCTTTTAAAATTTGTTTTCATTATTCTGAGTAGTTAGACTATTTACATTGATGTTTCCACCCTGTAAGCCAGTGTTCTCAACCTGTGGGTCACAACCACTTTGGGGTCATACATCAGATATTTACATCATAATAGCAGCAAAATTACAGTTATGGAGTAGCAACGAAAATAATTTTATGGTTAGGGGTCACCACAATGGTGAGGAACTGTATTAAAGGATCGAAGCATTAGGAAGGTTGAGAACCACTG